TCTGAGGTTGCTCATTTTCAGAGGATATTTTAATTTGAGGTGTATCATGCAAACTGTCATTGTCAGATGATAGGGGATCAGGTTTAAAAAACATTCGCTATGCGGTACTCCATTTAAGGGACCCGGTGATTGAGTAGTATTTTTTCAAATATGAAATATAGTGACATTTTTTAAACAAATCTCCTGTTATTTGGCATCAGCGTCGTAAATTTTCATCCAATATTTTAAAAAATAGATTTTTTATGAAGTTTTTATAAGTAAATGCGTACGAGATGGGGGGAGACAACCGTTACTGATAATAACGATGACACTTCTTATTTGCTGGAAGTCAGGGATAAAGAGATGCAAGAACCTGTCTGACGCACCAGGAAGAAAAACAGTAGTAAGGAGGGCCCACAAAGTGGATATGCAGCTGGTGCCACCTGGAGGGCCAGATTTCACTCACAATAATGAGTAATATGTTATTATGCTGTATTTTATTATATATCATATAAAATACATTGCCCAATGGCAATTTTTCTTATGTCCCTTCGCTGACATAATATTTATTTACAGATTTCACATTCTATACTCTTTTTCTCTTTAGGCTGTATTGATTCACGAGGACCAGATGAGGGGCTTATCACTTATATATGGGTAATGAAGTTACTGCAATATATATGTTTGTTATCCCTAACCTATCCCTATATTTTTTTTTTTTGGGGGGGGGTATTTTTCTTAATTTCATTACAACACATACTGACCTACAACTTTCATATATTTGAGTATGAATGACAAGCAATGTTTATTAAAACATACAAGAAAATTTATTTATTAGAACTACCATATTCATTGTCGATAACTTAAATTTCAATTATCTGTGAAAAAAGTAATTTCAACTTTGAGACCAACGTCAAAAATTCAGTTTCTGACCGATTCTCACCATTTTTACATATTGTATGCAAGTTCTTAGTTCTAAGGTGTCTTAAGGGTCGTTTAGTCATAAATCCATAACGTTTGGAGTAATAATTTTTTTGGCATCTAAATTTTGCACATATTTTGATGGCCACATTGAAAAAATGTTTTACAGTAAACTATACTCTCAAATAATATTTTACCTTTACGAACATGAACTTTATATTCCTATAAACCTTAAAAGGCGGGTCTAAGAACTAACATCAGAAACTGACAAATACATCACATACGTTTAATTAACATTCTCTATGAAAATGGACTTGATACAACCATAATTTCACTCTTAAACGGGGTACCGCATAGTAATGATTTGTTAAGCCTGGTCGCAGAACTATCATCTGACAATGAATGATGCATGATACTCCTCCAATTAACATATCGTCTGAAAATGAACAACCTCAGACCTTCATATGACTCTTAAACGGGGTACGCTTAGCAGAAATATTTTGAAACCCCGTCCTGCCACACACAAACAAAAATTGGGTACCACTTAGTGGGAACATTTCCAAAAACAAAACGTTCCCGCTCTGCGGTCTTACCACCTACTCCAGTTAAGTGGAAAACTTTTGTTCTAGACATTGTTTCACAGCTTAATCCAATGTCACTTATTTGAGACAATTAACCATTCTGTTGAATGTACTCAGAGTGACTATTTCATATGTGAACCTTGATAATTGTGGTGATTATAGATTGAGCAAATGTGATGATAATAGACACTAAGTACCTTGTTCATATAGGTGGACAGAATAAGGTCTTGCCCTTAAGAGATAAATTTCTTGCAGATCCTAGGTGTACAGGTGTGAATACACTCAACTGTGATAACATTGATTATGGAATTAATAGGAAAAGTTTGTATTATATAGATCCCAATATGAATAGTAACTGCTCTCATGTGGATGGTGTCTTGTTAAAGTTTGAACTTTTGGACTATTCAGTAACCATTTATTTCATTCTCCTGGAGTTCATTGACTCATTACCATTGCAGAATCAAAGATTATAATGTGTCTATTTTTCCCAGTGTTATTTATCTTGTAATATACTTTATTCCTGGTTTAGTGCATGTTGTTCCTAAGATTTTGACTATTTGTGATACTTTCAGATTTTACTCAATAATCATGTGTTTCTACTTACCATTTGATTGTGTAATGTGCATGATACTGAATTTCAAGTTTATTTTCAACTTGCTGGTCATGAGACTGTGTTGTTTAGTGGAGAGTGTCATGTACATTACTCATGATTCTGTTTCATTATGTACTGTTAGCATGTGCATGTCTTTAAATTATTATTATCTCAAGTGTTATCATCTGATGCAACGGAACTGTTTTGATTTTCTTATCAATTTAAAAGTTGCATTTCTTCATTAGTTCTTGCCAATGCTTGTGTATAATTTTGAAGTTCATTGTCAACATTTGTTATCTGACATCCTCGTTATGCTTCAGTACTTAATTCTGTACTTACATTAGTAAGTAATTGAAGTGAAATTAATCTTCAATTAATTCCATTTTTTCTCCTGAGATTGAGGGATGTTATGGATCAGGAATAAATCTGGATCCTAACTATGTTATTAATAAAACTTTTGTTGTCAGTTGTATTTTGTCAACAAAGTTTTGTATTGTTATCATTATCACGGAATAAATGAAATTATTGTATTCCATACTAACCACTGTATTCCAATATACCAGTAGGTGATGGACAAGGGTGCAGCCACAGGTTTTGAATTAGTTCAGTTCTTGCCCATATTGTGTGATAGTCAGCTGTGTATTAAGTGGACCAACTGTAATGAGTTTCATGATATATATTATTTTAATAATTTGAGTTGGATATTATTTATGTTAGTACTTATTTTAACTATTACTCATTATATATATTGTATGCAGTGTTGGCCAGAGTGATAAGATGGGGACTGTGTTGAATTAAGAGATGTGGTAAGTTGGCAGCATTTACCTGAGAGCCACTAACACTAGTGGTTTCGATGAGGACAGGAAGCTGGTGACTTGTCAAACGTCCCCCCATTTGCGTTGATGACCCTTTCCAGCTGTACTTTAAACGTTAACAGAGTTTTGGCATTTAAGGCTTCTGTGGGTAGGTGCTTCCATGGGTTAATAACACTGTGGGTGAAAAAGCATCTCCTGTTCTCAGTCTTGCATTTGAGCTTGAGCTTGAAACCATTGATCCTTGTTTGTGTTACATCTGACCTTTTGAAGAAATTTTCCAGATCAACATCCACCAAATTGTTCATTGTTTTAAAAGTTTCAATAAGATCGGTCCTATCATGCCTGGTTTGCAGTGTTGTTAGCCCTGGGGGCCACCAACCGTTCCTAATACGTGAGTTGACTTAGCCCCGGAATGATTTTTGTTGCCCAGTGTTGCACTTTCTCCAGAGCAGCTACATCTTTCTGAAGATGAAGTCTCCATGCTTGGATACAGTAATTCAAATGGTGGCACACAGCGATTTATTCAACTGAATAATTGCCCTCGTTTCCTTGAAGTGGAAGGTACACTTGATTATTCCAAGTAAGCGTTTATGACTCCTGCCCCTATCTGCTATGTAACTTTCAATGAGTGGTGAATTTTGACTCCAAGGTCCTTTTCTTCATCAATCTACTGTAATGTAATGCTAATTAATTTGATAGCTGTGCCGTGGGTTGTTATGCCCCACATGCAGTGTCCCGCATTTGTCAATATTAAAGAACATTTGCCAGTCATCTGACCATTTGTGGAGTTTCTGCTGATCTCTTTGTAAGACCTCTACATAATTATCATTTCCCACTTTACCATAAATCTTTGTGTCATCTGCAAATTTGATGATGTGGTTTGTAATATTCTCATCTGTCACTGATGTTTAAGACAAAAAGGGTTGCCCAAAAATTGGAGCCCTGTGGTACCCCACTTACCACATTTCTCCAGTCAGATTCATTCCCATTTAGCACCACTCTTTGTTTTCTTTGTTTTAAGTATTGTTTTATCCATTCTAGTATTTTTCTATTTATTCCATATGCCTGTATTTTTTTTGTTGCCAGTCATTCATGTGGTCCCTTATCAAAGGCTTTATCAAAATCTATGTATACTACATCAACTGGAAGCGCTTTGGCTGAGTACCTGATTACCGTTTCCAAAAATGTGAGCAAGTTTGTAAGGCAGGATCTATCTTTAACGAATCCCATGTTGTGTCGATTGTACAAGATTGTTCACTGAAAGATGGTGAAAGATTCTCACTCATAGGATTCTGTATGTGAGCTTGCAGATGTGTGATGTCAAGTTGATTGGACGGTAGTTCTCCGCTGAACTCTTTCTGTCTTTTTTTGAAAATAGGGGTGACATTTGCATATTTCCAATCTAGGGGACTATCCCTTGGGCCGGAGACTTTGTGAAAAGTAATTTCAGTGGAAGGCATATGTTACGACCCCACATACACCAGTATGATCATACTGTGACTGGTGTTACTGGACAGACATAGGCAGGTCATTGTCTTCCTACTGGTACTATTAACTGGTCGAACCAGTAGTGACTCTCACCACATAGTCGGTGAAAGGCGGCTTGCCGAGGCACAAAATTACTTCACCAGCTATGATGAACGTGAGTTCAACACTACATCTCGTTATTTCAAAACAATGTTGCTTTAATTCCAAGAAAATACAATTTATTATCATAGTAAATGAACTACCAAGAGTTTATTAAGCTGTAAACCAAATTTTTTATATTTTTCTCTGATCATGAAATAACACAAGCTTGCCTTTTACTCTGATAGCTTAAGGAACGAGGTTATTATTTTATCCAAGGCCTGACCGCTAAGCGGACAGCGCTCAGGATTCGTAGTCCTAAGGGTCCGGGTTCGATCCCCGGTGGAAGCAGAAACAAATAGGCAGTTTATTTCACTCTGATGCCTCTGTTTACCTAGCAGTAAATAGGTACCTGGGAGTTAGACAGCTGCTACGGGCTGCTTCATGTGGATGTGTAACAAAAAGGAGATCTGGTCGAGCACCGGGCCGCGGGGACGCTAAGCCCTGAAATCAAGGGAAGATAACCTATATACAGAAGGCACTGACCATCAGCGGAGGTGGCGAGGCGGAGGTCATCAGGGTACTGGTCGATGAGGCGCTTGATGAGGTCAATCTGTTCTATGGTGAGCTGCACGGCGTTGAGTCTCTGTGCCTCACACGGCACGTACGACGCCCAGAACTGTGGGCGACGAGGAAATAAATTACCAATAAAATTATCAATTAATAACCATAAAAATCATAATTAATAAAAAAATAAAATTCATAAAAAATATAATTCATAAAAAAGAATTCATAAAAAACTTTCATGACCATTTACGAAACCTGTGCATCTTTCCACGATCATGGGACTTTGTCTGTATTTAATAAACAGTTTACAAGTTTGGAAATGCTTCGAGGTGGATCTTGACCTTAACTTTGTATTCTTATAGACGCCCTCGAAGAGCTTCAGAGCTTATAACCTGTTTAATGAATTTAGACTATGTCGGTATGCTCTAGAAAAGATGCACAGGTTTCGTAAATAGACACTTGATAGACCGTTGCCCTGTTGTAACCGGATTATTATCTGGAATTTAGTTAGTAGTTCTCTCTCAACGTATTGCAGCGGAAGCTGTTGATGAGCTTATTGATGACAGTGGTGAATGGATCCTGGCGTGACATGGACAGGCCTGTGACATGGACAGGTCTGTGACATGGACAGGCCTGTGACATGGACAGGTCTGTGACATGGACAGGTCTGTGACATGGACAGGTCTGTGACATGGACAGGTCTGTGACATGGACAGGTCTGTGACATGGACAGTGCTGTGACATGGACAGGTCTGTGACATGGACAGTGCTGTGACATGGACAGGTCTGTGACATGGACAGTGCTGTGACATGGACAGGTCTGTGACATGGACAGTGCTGTGACATGGACAGGTCTGTGACATGGACAGTGCTGTGACATGGACAGGTCTGTGACATGGACAGTGCTGTGACATGGACAGGTCTGTGACATGGACAGTGCTGTGACATGGACAGGTCTGTGACATGGACAGGTCTGTGACATGGACAGGTCTGTGACATGGACAGGTCTGTGACATGGACAGGTCTGTGACATGGACGGGTCTGTGATATCAGAGAACTTCAGTGTGTATCTGAAGTTCTCTGCCACTGTGTGTCTGGAGAGCGGATGTGGGGTATTGGGGCATTGTGACGAAATAGTGTTAGGTCTGGCCTATGTTGAGGAAAGTGAACTCGCCGGTGATTACCATTGAACGTGGACGACGTATACTTGAAGTAAAGGAAGCAAAAACCGGGTTTTTCAAAACCCGGACTCACCGGGTTTTGAAGAACATTGCTGATATATTGAGTGTCCTGGGTGAAAGTGACACTGTACATAAGTGTAGTTATATTTCGATAGCTAATATATTGGTGAAGGTGTTATTGTGTCTTGTTTACCCCTTTATTCCTTACACATTTACCTGCTACCGCCAATTGTTGAGAATTTACCATTGACTTGGGGTGGGATTATGGAAGAAGAGGCTCTAAGGCACACAATGCCGGAAGAACCCGGTTACTGGCTCAAGCAGGCCGTAACAAAGGGGCAAAGGTTTATTGAAAATGACTATTTGTATTTAAATGGCACAAATTGGGGGTTCTTTTTGATTGTCTTTGAAATTAAACAAAAGGCGAAAATCTTGCTTAACTGAAGGTTAGCTGCTTGATGGGGTTCTGGGAGTTCTTCTACTCCCCAAGCCCGGCCCGAGTCCAGACTTGACTTGAGAGAGTTTGGTCCACCAGGCTGTTGCTTGGAGTGGCCTGCAGGCCCACATACCCACCACAGCCTGGCTGGTCTGGCACTCCTTGGAGAAAACTATCTAGTTTTCTCTTGAAGAGGTCCACGGTTGTTTCGGCAATATTTCTTATGCTCGCTGGGAGGATGTTGAACAACCGCGGATCTCTCATGTTTATACAGTGTTCTCTGATTGTGCCTATGGCACCCTTGCTCTTCACTGGTTCTGTTCTGCATTTTCTTCCATATTGTTCACTCCAGTATATTGTTATTTTACTGTGTAGATTTGGGACCTGTCCCTCCAGTATTTACCATGTGTGTATGTTATTTGATATCACTCTTGTCGTCTTTCTAGTGCGTAGATTGGGAGAGCTTTGAGACGATAACAATAATTTAGGTGCGTTATCGCGTCAATGTATGCCGTATATGTTCTCTGTACTCCCTCTATTTCTTCAATCTCTCCTGCTCTGAAGGGAAAAGTGAGTACTGAGCAGTACTCAAGACGGTACAGCACAAGTGATTTGAAGAGTTCAACAATCGTGATGCAATACCTGGATTTGAAAGTTCTCGTAATCCATCCTATCATTTTTCTGGCAGACGCAATATTTGCTTGGTTATGCTCCCCTAAACGTTAGGTCGTCAAACATCATTATTCCCAAATCCTTCATATGTTGCTTTCCTACTATGGGCAAATATGATTGTGTTTTGTACCCTGTATTATGTTTAAGGTTCTCATTTTTACCATATCTGAGCACCTGGAATTTATCGCTGTAAAACATGCTATTTCCTGCTGCCCAGTCGAAAACTTTATTAATATCTGCTTCTAGCTATTCAATGTCTTCAGCAGAGGTAATTTTCATGTTGATTTTTGTGTCATCTGCAAAGGATGATACGAAGCTGTGCCTTGTATTTGAGTCTATATCAGATATGAGAATAAGGAAAAGCAGTGGTGAAAGGACCGTTACCTTGAGGTACAGAGCCTTTAACTGCACTTGGACTCGATTTTATATGGGTTAACTGTTACTCTCTGTGGTTTGTTCGACAGAAAACTGAGCATCCAGCGTTCTACTTTGCCAGTTTTTCCCATTGACCTCATTTTGTGTGCTATCACTCCATGGTCACATTTATCGAATGCATTTGCGAAATCCGTGTATACCACATCAGCATTCTGTTTTTCTTCTAATGCTTCAGCGATTTTGTCGTAATGGTCAAGTAGCTGTGAGAGGCATGATCTTTCCGCTTTAAATTCATGTTGACCTGGATTGTGGAGGTCATTGGTTTCCATGAAACTAGTGACCTGACTCCTGATCATACTCTCAAATACTTTATTATGTGTGACATTAGTGCAACTGGTCTATAATTCTTTGCCAATGCTTTGCTCGCTCCTTTGTGTAGAGGGGCTATGTCTGCTGCTTTAAGCGCATCTGGTATCTCCCCCATGTCTAAACTCTTCCTCCACACTATACTGAGTGCCTGTGCTACTGGCACTTTGCATTTCCTTATAAATACTGAATTCCATGAGTCTGGACCCGGGGCTGAGTGCATGGGCATAGTGTCAATTTCTCTTTCAAAATCTGCCACGCTTGTGTTGATATCAGCTATATTTATAGGGGTTTGGATATCACGCATAAAGAAGTTCTCCGGATCTTGCACTTTCATGCTGTTTATTGGAGTGTTAAACATGTCCTCAAACTGCTTTTTTAGGATTTCACTAATTTCATTGTCATCCTCAGTGTATGAACCTTCACTAGTACGAATAAGTCCAATACTGGCAGTGGTTTTCGCTTTTGATTTAGCATATGTGAAGAAATATTTTGGGCTTTTCTATATTTCTTGAATTGCTTTCTGTTCAAGTTGCCTTTGTTCAATCTGATATGAATACTTCAGTCTCTGTTCAATTTCTTCAATCTCCCTGTTTAAATTATTCCTTCTTTGTATGGAAAGTCGTGTCTGCTTAATCATTCCCGTTAATTTTTTCCTTCTTTTGTAGTGTCGTCTGCGTTCTCTTTCTACATTGGACCTTTTTGTGGGTTTCCTTTAAGGAACATGTTTCAGACAGTCTTCATATGCTTCAGAAGTCAGTTTTTCTATTCCTTGTGTAGGATTTTTATTACTTAGAACATTTTCCCATTGAATGTTTGTAAGTTTCCTGTTTATTTTCTCGCAGTCAGTTCTTTCATTATTAAAATTGAATTTATTGAATACCCCTTCTCAGTTTTTTTTCTTGGGCCTACTACCGTTATTAATGTTAGTTTACACTTCAATGCGCTTGTAAACCGAGTACTTAGTGTCTGAGACAGTAATGTCTCTGATCAGCTCAGCATTGTTTGTGAATATCAGGTCCAGTGTGTTTTCGTTCCTAGTTGGTTCTGCAATCTGGTGACTGAACCATAATTTGTCACAGAATCTCAGTAGTTCCCTGACCTGTGGTTGATTATTTTCAGGTTGATTTCCTGCTATAATTTTATTGTTTACTATTATCCATTTTAAACTGTGTAGATTAAAGTCTCCAAAGAAGATAATACTTGGTAGGGATTTTGCTAGGTTATCAGGGATATTCTCTATTTTGTTGAAAATGTTGCTTCCAGTATAATCACACACTCTCCTGTTCACCGCATGCACTAGCCTACACGTAACACACGCACTTGCAAACACGCCACATACACACACACACACACACACACACACACACACACACACACACACACACACACACACACACACACACACACACACACACACACACACACACACACACACACACACACACACACACACACACACACACACATTAGGCCAAAGCTAGAAAATGCAGCGATTGTGTGGTGCCCATATCTTAAGAAGCACATCAACAAACTGGAAAAGGTGCAAAGACATGCTACTAAGTGGCTCCCAGAACTGAAGGGCAATAGCTGCGAAGAGAGGTTAGAGGCATTAAATATGCCAAAACTGGAAGACAGAAGAAAAAGAGGTGATATGATGACTACATACAAAATAGTAACAGGAATTGATAAAATCGATAGGGAAGATTTCCTGAGACCTGGAACTTTAAGAACAAGAGGTATAGATATAAACTAGCTAAACACAGATGCCGAAGAAATATAAGAAAATTCACTTTTGCAAACAGAGTGGTAGACGGTTGGAACAAGTTAGGCGAGAAGGTGGTGGAGGCCAAGACCGTCAGTAGTTTCAGAGCGTTATATGACAAAGAGTGCTGGGAAGATGGGACACCTCGAGCGTAGCTCTCATCCTGTATCTACAATTAGGTAATTACACTTAGGTAATTACACACACACACACACACACACACACGTTTGCTGATGATACAAAAATTCTGAGAAGAATCAAGACAGATGAAGATAGACTACAGGACGGCTTGGACAAACTGGTGGAATGGTCTAGAA